TTCCTTCCTTCCTTCCTTCCTTCCTTCCTTCCTTCCTTCCTTCCTTCCATAACAGAAACAAAAGGAGCTTAAAGAAACGATTTGGCGTAACCAATTTCCATTTTGAAATGGTGTAAACAGGCCCACATTCAACATGTGGATAATGGGATCTCTGTGGTGGACATGTTCCATGTGAGGAGACAGGGTGTCTTCTGCAATTTACATTCCTTTGGAATTGCACACAAATGCCCTTGCTAAAGAACCATCTAGCTGAGTATTCTCTTTCCAACAGCGATCGGCCAAATGCTGCAGAGCAAGGCGGCTGCGCGAGCCAAGTTGGCTCAGCTGCTCAATTTACACTCGCAATGCAGTTCTCCTCTCTCTCAGTCCGTCCCAAAGCAAACACATTATCACTTGCCAGCATCCCACATGCTTTGGGCTAACAAGAAAGCCTAGGCGGGGGGGGGGGGGGGGGGGGGGGGGGACGGTGCCTGCAGGGCCTCCAAACGCTGCGTGGGCCACAAGCAGAGTTTAAATATAGGTAGGCATGGAGGATTTAAAGTCACTAGCATAGTCAGGGAAATCCGATCTCTTGGGAAATAGGACCCAGAAATAAAAGAATACCGTGTTAGGGATGGGGCAGACAATTCTTTTGGGTGGGGCTGCACTTTTCCTAGAAGCCCCTGAGGATTGTGGAGGAGTGGACAGTTGATGAAGCCGTCAAGAGACAGACATCCTCTTTCTGGCCCACTTCCATTGGAAGGAGGGGAAAGAGGGAGGGAGGGGAAGGGATTTTGCCATATATTAAATGCACAGAGAGCTAAGGAAATTAATTGTCTTCGTTCGTTTACCGTATTAATGAATCTGGATATGCTTGTTGTGGTAACAAGAAGCAGATCTGCCTACAGCCTCCTTCTTCAGAAGAAACTTTACTGTATTTACTTTACTTTTTCCTCTGTATCTATGATGTTGATAGCTAAGTCTTTTGATCAGTTTGTCATTATGAAATTTCTTAGGCATTTTCTCCTCCTCCTCCTGCTTGGCACAGCCCTGTTTTTCTAGAGGAGGGCAATCCTTCTCGAATGCTGGAGAATCAGCTTCTTCTTGAATTATTTGGATTGATAAAAACCTCTTGTCAGACCTTTTCAAACCTCTCAATATATTAGGCTCATAGGAAATAACATACATACATACATACGTACATACATACATACATATAATTGATTGATTGATTGATTGATTGATTGATTGATTTTTTTTTAGTGGGTCAGACTTTTCAGCCTGATTTAAAGGCTAGCAGAAAATGTGCAGGAAACAATACCAGGGAGGAAATTAAGAAACTAGGGTTACGCGGCACTTCAGATTCAGTTCAAAGAAGACACTTCCAAGTGCGCGGGAGCACAGCCCCAGCCCCAGCCTGCCACCAAGATGCAGACCAGCGCCACCTTCACACCCCCATGCGCTCCAGACCTCTTTTGGGCATCCGATCCAAAGCTTTGCACATTCCTACAAGAAACTTATTTTCTACTTGGCTGCAATGGGTTGGCAACTCCTTCTGGGGTTTCTTTAAAAACAGAGTAAGAGGCTCAGTGTATAACACCATAATACGCTGTAATTATATCGCCTGATATTTTGTTTTAAAATTCCACTCAGGTGGAAAAGGGGAAAGAAAAGGGGGAACACAGAGTTTGTGGAAAGAAAATATCTTGCTGGCTTCTGGGGGGTCTCCTTAGTCCTTTCCCACAAAAAATCACCCTTCAAGCATCCTACGTAGCAAGGATGTGGGGGGAAATGAAATGGGGGGGGGTTAGTTATTGCTCTTGTTAGGCAACTGGAAGTCAGGAAACTTTTGTAATCTATGACAGATCTCCAGGAGATTGAACAAAGTACAGTAGATCGAGATCTGCTTTCTCCCTCCTCACATTGAAAGATATCTTTCTAGCATCAGATGTTGCATTCTCCATGTCTCCACATTGCCCCAAAGGACCAGCATGTTTTTTATTACGGCTTGCAGTATCAGATTCACATCCATCCTTCCATATGGAAAACATTTCAGCCATTTGATGTAGTAGCGATACAGATCTTCTTACTGGGAAGTTGGGGCGAGGGGAGCCAATGTGCTCGCCTTGTGATGTCACGGGGGGCCGAATATGAAAATAGTGGCGGTCTCCCTTTTGAATGGGACTTGTGGCTGCCAAGGGGAGAAATTCAGTAGCCCGTGGCTGTTGCATCCAACGGAGTTTCTTCTTTGCCTGTTCTGCCTCCTTCGAGTGGGTGGGAGGTAGAATAGAAGAGTGGTTATACATACGTAAGATGGTGCTCATGGCTTTGAGCTTGAGGACCAAATTTTTAACTATAAAGAGAATGTGTGTATTTATTTACTCATCGTTACACATACACCCTATCTTTCCTGCAGGAGCGAAAAGCTGCATACTTAATACTCCCTCCTCCAGTTTTCCCCCAAACCATAGACTTGGGAGTAGGCTGGATTGAGAAAGAAGGACTGGTCCAGGGTCACCCAAAGAACTTCCCCAGTTGAGGTGGACTTTTGCATGGATCTTCCCAGTCCAAACCATTAGACACCACACCAGAATGGCCCTGTAATGCTATTACCCAAAGTTAATTGGGCTGCCTAGATGTAAGCCGCTGTTCTGCAAGGATTCCCCTGTGAGGGAATTCCCCTCACCACAAATTATGTGGCCAAGTGCCAGATGGGACTTCTTGGCCACAGTCCTTTGGTTTGGGACACTTCCAGAGACACAGCTTTCACGCCCTGCATCTGGCAGTGGATACAGGTGTTGCAGACAGTGCGGGAAGCAAAAATAGAACTTGGTTGAAGTTAGGAGTCATTCAACAGATAACTTAGTTGTGTTTAACCGTAGTGGCTAACTAGATGCCTCCAGGAGACCCGGGCCCTCCCTTCCTTTCACCCTATGAAGAGACATAGTGTGGTGTCATGGTTAGGGTGTTGGAAGCAGACTGCAAAGACCTGAGTTCAAATCCACACCCACCTATTAAACTCTCAGATGGTGACTGAATTAGAGACTATTGCTCAGCCTAATCTCCTTCACAAACGGCAGTAGAGAAACACAAAGGAGACTGAGCTGCTTGTAGACAAAACAAGTTCATCCACTAAATGAAGAAAGAACTTCATCTCCAGATAGCAGGACAAGGACAGTACATTTATGTTTCAGTGGCACAGAAAAATGTGGACTGAGCATTGCTTAGTTTTCTGTACGCACCTTTCCTGGGGTCAGGGGGTCTCTCTGAGTTGACCCTGAGCATGTTAGTTTATTCATCCCTCCCTCCCTTCCTTTTTCAGGGCACAGGCAGAAGCTGGAAGAGCAAACAAAATTCCAAGATCGTTATGGGGACCTGGAAAGGCTTCGGCACTCTATGAGAGTCACTCCGACGACTCCCAATTCTCGAGGGCCCCTGGGTGCCCCCGGGCACTTCGGAACACAAGCACAGAGCCAGATCCAAGGTAGGCAGCTTGGCTTCCTTACAAGGGTATCCACAGGGCATTGTTAAAAGAGCCAAGAAGCTCTGCCTGTTTTTTATTTGCATCACAACACATGTAAAAAAAACAGGTGGAATTTCAATCACACCATTGTGGCTGCCATCTTGACTTTTATTTAACCATACTTTATGGCAGTGTTTCTCAATCTTGGCAACTTTAAAATGTGTGGACTCCAACTCCCAGAATTCCCCAGCCAGCCGTGCTGGGAGTGATTAAGTTGATATACGCTTTCTTTAAACAATTAATTCAATAGCATTGGCCTCAGTCTGGGAAGACCACACAACAATCTTGGCGGCTTTGACTTTAAACTAAACCTATCTGCTGCTTCATAGAAGAGTAAAAAAATAAAAATAAAAAGGGGAAATTTGTATGTGTTTTATCCTTCCTGGAGGAAAGATGAGAATTAGAATTAGACATGAGAGAGACAATGTAAAGAGAATGAGTCTTTTAATGGCACCAGGAGTATCTGCAGAGCATGGTCAAAAAGGTCAAGATGGTGGCAACAACAATGTGATCCACAGCTCCACCTGTGTTTTATGTGTGCTGGGGCCACCATTTTTGACCACACCCTGCAAACAATCCAGAATGGCACCTTAAAGATGAACAAAGTTACTATTGCAAAAGCTTTTGTAGGTCACAGTCTGTTTCCTTAGATGCATGCTGAGAATCCTGATGCAGACTATGATCCATGAAAGAGCATGCAATCATAACTTTAAGATGCTACAAGACTCTTGGCTGTTTGGGCTGCAAAAGAGTAGCAAGGCTTCCTCTCTGGAAGCTGAGTAAGCAAAGAATGCATCTGACTTGCACGAGGCCACTCCTCGGCATCAACGTCCCACCCTAGAAAGCATGTCCGGCCATTCCCCAACGATACGTACGCCAGCCTTTAAGCTAGAGTGCAAGGAACTGGCATGTTCTGGCAGCCAGCTTTGCCTGTTCATCTCCAGAACGACCCAGAAGATGCCTGACCAGCTTTGCCAGGAGGTGCTTCCAAGCATCTTTTAAGAATGACAAGGAGATCCCTTTATGTATCCTTGATTTCATTCTATAAGCTATGTTGGACTGCTCTGCCTCTCCTTCTGTAGTTTTCTGTTCCAGCTGGCCCCATCCATTCCAAATGTTCCCATCTGCTCCTGTGAGTTCTGATGGCAAAGCTCCCAAAGATGTCCTTGTCCTGCTTTTGCCTTCAGAGTTTAGTCTCCAAGTTACAATAATTGAACAGATTCCAGATACCAAGTGATCTATCCATGGATGAGATCGCTCCACTAAGCTCTCCAAGCAGTTGTATGTCTGGGGCTTCCCTCTGAGCAAGAGCAATGGCCTTTGCAGGGGGCTAACTGTCACCCTCTGAAGAAGCTGCTGAAGCTGTAGGGCAAATCTATAAAACCAGGCTGTGGGTATTTGTCCAAGCTAATACCAACTTTGACATGAATTAAAAGCCCAGGGGTAAAATTAGGGATGTCATGGAATTCCACCAAAATTTCTGTTGGGAGAAAACTTGAAGGTTCCATTCCAGCTGACAAGAGTCTGCTGCACCAAATGAGCCACACTGGTGTTTCTCTTTCGCCAAAAATAAATAAATCACCATCTGTCCAACACGTCTGAGAAAGTAGGCCTAAAAATTGCATACAAACAGAAGTAGTTCCCTTTTTTAGAAGAACTTGCATTAGGGAAATTTGCATGACAGATTCTTCATCAGGGAAAGGAACAGGCCACAGAATGAAAATAGAGTAACTTTCTTTTTTAAAAGGCGTTTTCAGCTCTGACAATTTCCTTAATTTGCATAGCTAACAACGTAAAGATGCAGGCAGAGTTTCTCTACGTTAGGTAATGTAAATGTAAACGATTCTGAATTTTTCTATGGATTGTGAAAAATTCGCTTCAATATTTTACTATGCAGAATATTCCTTGACTAATGCAGACAGTAAAACAGGACGGATTTTTGCAGGTTCTCCCATTTTTAGATGGTGGGATTGACGTCCTTTAGGTTTCATCAGTCTTGCAACAAAATAACAGTTAACGTGGGGCACGGGAAAAAGGAATTAAATAGTAGGACTGAGAAATGTTGGGAGTGAATTCCAAAAAGGTGGTTTGGAATACGCAAAGCTGCAGATGTTTCAACTGTCTGCAGCTATTTAAAGCAACTGCATCTTTTCCAGAGATGCATAGTAGCTGCAGAGGGCAGCCACATAAGCCTAGGAAAAAAGAAGTCTAAAAATGAGTGCTTCTTTTGTGTCTTATATGTTCCAAAGCACTACTTCTGAAATGTTCCTGAAGCATTGCGCAAAGTAGCATCTGGATCCAGCTGCACTGATGCAGCCAAAATGGTGATACATATGCAATGACAATCACACAAGCACCACGATTTTGTTCTTGCAATGGGAAATCTTATAGTCATGCACACGGCATATTTTCCCTTCCTGCAAATGCCCATACCAACCTATTCAATAATCAAAGCCTCTTTTGACCATTAGCAAAACATCTACATTGTACATTGATGCTTTTCTTCTTAGAGTACAGTACTTGTTTAAATGGGAAATGGAAATGTGTAGGTTTTGTGCAGAATAAGACCTGTTGCAATATGTACAACTGTGTTTCTCAACCTTGGCAGCTTGAAGATGTGTGGACTTCAACTCCCAGAATTCCCCAGCCAGCCATGCTGAAGTCCACACATCTTCAAGTTGCCAAGGTTGAGAAATATTGATGTAGAGATACTGTGTTTCTCAACCTTGGCAGCTTGGAGATGTGTGGACTTCAACTCCCAGAATTCCCCAGCCAGCCATGCTGAAGTCCACACATCTTCAAGTTGCCAAGGTTGAGAAATATTGATGTAGAGATTAAGAGTGGAGATGATTCCTCCCCTCCCATGCACACTAATTAAAGGCCATTATGTGACTGTATTTACAGAGTTCAGTCCTCTACCTGGACGTAACTTGCAGTGATTACGTTATCCAATCTAAGTTCAGTTTAAAGAGAAAGCCAGTCATAAGGGACCCTAGGATTCCTGCAATCGCCCTTAAACTCTTAGCACTGGGACAGAGTAGTGAATGGCACGGGTATTAAATTATCACTGACTTCCCAATTAGCGAGAGATGGGTTGCATTTCTATTTAAACGATTGTAGCACTTCCCCGTCATTACCTTTGGAGCGCAGAATGGCCAATGCAAACGCGCACTTTTCATCTCTTCTTTTGCGATGTTGCATTTCCCCTCTGTCTGGCAGCATGTAGGTGGTCATCCTACATTCCTTTCTGCCTAAGTCACTGCCCTTTGAAAAAAATCCCTCTCCAACCTCTGAAAGGTTTTCCCCGTGCTTAAAATGACAAAAAGCATCTGCTTGCTTGGGCAGCTACAGAAGAGTTTTCCAAGGGAAGCTGAGTATTGATGAAGGGAAAGTGGCTTTCTCTGAGGGTCACATTTTCTCTTCCAGGGAATGAATGGAGCCAAGATGCTCTCCTTGCCTTCATCTTTCCTCTCCTTGTTCACTTCTTGTCCATTAGCCATCTCCATTACAGGACACAACATTTTGAAAGTGGTCTTATTGCTCTCTGAAATAAGAAATAAGACCCTCTCGCTTGGGAGTTGTGGCCCTCAGCTTCTGGCACATCCCTGTTAATGTTCCAAAGTTGGTGACCAGGATAGCAAAGAAATTCAATCAGCCATTATTTTTAGGGAAACTCATCGAATTCACCGTTCCCAGACTCAATGGCGGGCCAGAACCCAATTATCTTCCCATTCTATCATTCTCCAAATTTTGCAGCAGAGCTCTTGACTCCAAAAACATTAACCAAAATCAGTGGAGAAGGATCAGGTAATTTAAACATGGATTTAAAAAAAAAAATCAAGAGGAATGGGGAACAGGACAGAATGGACTTCCAGTTGGACACTAGTTGATCCATTCACCTCTAGTTGGTAAAGGCAATCTGGTTTATACGGGTCTTGACACTGGTTATTTCCATTACTGGAAGACTTGGTTGTTGTATGACTGTAATAGTCTTTCAATTACTCAGTTTTTTAAAAAAAGATCCAATGCTTTTTTGGGGGGGGGGGAATGAGGCCACTTGGGTTAAAATGGTTCAGTATCAATTAATTTATCCTGTTATATCCTGGAGCAGCCAAGATTGGAGGCACTGGAATAAAGGATCAGCAACTGTTGATGGCAATGTCCAGTTTGCTCCTTTGAAAGAAGCCTTGCTTTGTCCCAAGCGCCAAAGCAGAAGGAAAGAGAAAGAGAAGGGAAAGATGGTATGTGGCTATGGGAAGAGGACATATTTACAGGCCACTTCAGATGCAGAACAGAGAGAACAGTTGACAGGGCCAGAGAAGAAAGCAGTCTCAGCTATTTAAGTAATAACATAAAGCCTGTTGTTGACTAAACAGATAAAACTGGGGCCTAGTTTAAAACACAGCAGTAGAGAAAAACTCTTCTGCCTTCATTTCTCCCAGTTCTCATTCCACGTGATGCACAAGAATTTTCATTCAATTTTCTTCCAAAGGAGAAGAAAATTTCAGTGAATTTCTCAAGGATAGAATGTGGTGTTCTTGCCCTTATTTAATGCTAAGATGGCCAAGGGATGCATATGAAGATCTTCTCATGCGTTGCATACTCATCTCGTGAGTCATCTGCAGCCTCCCTGGCTTCCCATATTTCTATTTCAACTCACATCATATTTCCCTGGCTTCCCATATTTCCCTGGCTTCCCATATTTCCCTTTCCCTGGCTTCCCATATTTCTATTTCAACTCACATCATCAAGAGGTGATGTGAGTTCCTTCAGATTGGAAAACGCTACTGGATGATGTTACTAGGATGTGGAATAGAAAGCAGCAGTAGTAGCATCGTCCGCCTCTTCCAAAGTCAGTTCAGAAGTGTAACTGAGAGAAAATTAAAATCAATTCTCAAAGCTCCTGAGAAGATGGTGGTATTAAAACAGAGACTTCTATCACTGGGAAAGGAATACAGGGA